TTATCCTAGCTTGACACACAACATACTTGGATTTAGCGTAGTAGCAAATCATTGTTTCAGGAATCTCTTCACTTCACACGGCCCACGACCAGCCTGGGGAATCGAAATATTTCTCAGCGGGATCGGTGCCTTGCTTTGGCTGATTTTCTACAAGCGAATAACACCGCTCAAACTTCCAGAAACATTAAATGCGGGTGATGTATTTAAAAGCAAATATGGGACCGTGTACAAGTTCTAGAAGATATTGTTGACCTTACTGATATGTTATTATATGCTCAATATTACGCATTATTGAGTGAGCAGTGCCTTATGGAAACTATTTGTTGCATGCTGTAACAAATCTTTTCTGTTGTTTGTTTTGTTTCTATCTGAATAAATTATGTCATGGAAGTCCAAGAGTTTGGCCAACAAAGAACAATTTGTCGAAGGCAGTATGGTCAGAGGTGGCAATTGGACAGAATTCTATTTTTCTTCCAAACCTTGATTAACCTTTAGCAAAGTTCTATTTTCTTTATAGGACACAATGTCATTTAGCAAGCTAAGGCTCCTCTTGAATATTGTCCCAAGTGACCTGGGAAAGCTTGGAACGATTATAAGTGATCTGAAGTTTTCTGGAAAACTTAGGACGTGCTATCAATGTCTCAGTCCAAAAATCAAAATAAGTGAACAGATTCCTCGTAATGTACGTTTTATTACATAGAGAGAATAAACTCATAACTTTCTCAAAGTTTTTTTCCTTTTCTGTGAGTGCTGGGAGATCAAGCATTTTGATATATACATACATGTCATACATGAAATATATTTTTGAAAATTTTTCCAGTCTCTTGCAAATTTCTAATTTTCTTCATTGAAAAGCATGAACTTTCAAACCGCTTCGTATCAGCACCGATGCTCTCGCGATGCTACAAAAAATATAACATGATGAAAAAGAAAAACATGAGAAGATGAGAAAATGAGGAACGAAAATGAGAAAAAAAAAGAAAAGTGAAAAAGGGTTCCAAGATATAGAAAAAGTGGAGGTTGGTAAGCATGAACTTTTGAGAAGACTAATAGAGAGAATAAATGTATGTTAATTGTCAGTGGATCTCGACCATCCTTTCAACTTCCGATCGTAAAATGCAAAAAAATATCTCCGAGGCGCGCGGATTTATTCTCCGAGCCGGGTGATTGTCAAAAAAAAACATTCCGCAACCCGCCTGCGACAGATGACATTTGCCCATAAGTTCAGTATTTCATGTCGCGACGATTTCTCCTATTGTTTCGAATTTCTAGATCACTGTGTCATCTCCCTCATCAGGGCATTCGTTATATAAAGGATCGCACTCGTTTCGGATGCGCTTTGCGGGACATCATGACCGCATTGATACCCCTACTTGCACTATTATTTTGCATTATTGCTGTTACATTATGCTTTCACTGCAAAATGGAAGTCAAAGTGACCTCAAATACTGAGAAGAAGGTAAGTTCTCCAAAAAAAATTTTTCGTAAACCTATCCTTTGATATATTACTTTCAGTTCAAAGCTGTAGTAACTGTGCCTGCTCTAGGCATTCGTTCACAGCCAATGATTTTCAAGGGAAAAACCACCAAAAAGATCAAGGTACTATTAGTAATGAGTAAATCTGAACAAAGTTCAACTAATACTTGAACTTCAGGTGGATGGCGAAGATTGTGGAGCAAAACCTTGGATTATCAAGACATACCAATGGAAAAACGACCATTGGAAAGCTGCCAAAAATATGACTGCCAAATTAGCAGGAGATGGTTTTATAAGGTCTGCTCTTGTGATAGCAGGTGTTTTCTACAGCGGATTCAACTTTTCTTTTCAGATTCAAAGTTGGAGACGATCTCATGCCACGCGCCGGTGACAGGCTTGGCATAATGTGCTCAGAAGGAAGCTGTGGATAATTATACAGTGCAGAAAATGTTTGCTGCGAACTGCAATAGTTTCAGAAAGTGGCAATTGTATGATCCCCCAGAAGTGTAGCAATATATGTATAATAAACTAATATCCTTCGCAGATTCATTGATTTAAATCAACAGTAATTTCTTCCCTTGGCATGAAGGAATGGTGCACTGTTGAAAGCTCATCAAGATAGATTCTCGCTGAACTGATAAAAATACGTATTACTCGGAATCAACATTTGAAAGAGCTCACAAATATCACATGGCATTTATAAACACTCAAGT